GACGAAGCACCCCCAGGCACAGCACCTCCAGGCTCGGCACCTCCAGGCTCAGCACCTCCAGGCTCAGCACCCCCAGGCTCAGTACCCCCAGACACAGCACCCCCAGGCACAGCACCCCCAGGCTCAGCACCCCCAGGCACAGCACCCCCAGGCTCAGCACCCCCAGGCCCAGCACCCCCAGACTCCGCACCCCCAGGCTCAGCACCTCCAGGCTCAGCACCCCTAGACTCCGCACCCCCAGGCTCAGCTCCCGCAGCAGCACCAGAGTCACCAGTGACCTCGACAGGCTCGACCGCGTCTACCTGAGACACACCTGAAGGGGCAGGACCCTGAGGGGGGAGGGGGACTACCGGGGGGGGACCTGGTACCAAGAAGAGCGGGGGTGGGGGGAGGGACGGAGTGCGGTAGGGGAAGAGGCGGTAGTAGGGTACCGACTCGTCGAACGTGACGTCCTGGGAGGACAGAACACGTCGAGAGGTGGGGTGGTAAAACTGCCACCCAGGGGCGTCGGGGGGGAACCCGAGGAAGACGCAGGGAGAAGCACGAGGGGACAGCTTGTCCGCAGACAGGTCGCGAACAAACGCCCGAGATCCCCAGACCCGGAACGCCGACGCATCGCCAACCTTCCCCGTCCACAACAGAGCTGGGGAGGTCTCCGGTCGAGAGACCCTGGGGTGGAGGTTGATCTGGTGCGCAGCGTACCTGACCGCAAACGGCCACAGAAAATGGGGAGCAGCCGCATGCATCATGGACGTACGAGCGACGTCCATGACCATGCCAATGCGGCGCTCAGCGATCCCATTCTGCTGTGGTGAGTCCGGAAGCGTGAAGGTCTGACGGATGCCTCGCACACGACAGTAGGCACTCAGGAGGGCAGAGGAGAACTCTCCGCCTCTGTCCGAGTGCAGACGCAAAACAGGGAAGTCAGAGCCAAAGCTTCTCCGAAGCTGAAGACGAGCTGCGCGGATCCAGTCGATCAACACCTGAGTGACCTCACCCTTGCTGCGCAAGGGGAAGACTGTGGTGTAACGCGAGTAGTCGTCAACCACCAGCAGGAAGTAGTGCTCCTGACCCTGTCCACGGACGCGGGCTGGGCCCCACACGTCCATGTGAAGCGTCTGCAACGGGGCCTCTGTCGGAGGAAACTGGGAGGAGTGAGGGGCAGCACGCTGGCGCCCCTCGACACAGGGGACACAGGCAGGGCCAGGGCCCGGAGGAAGGGGAGGGAGGGACCGGGGAAGACCAGACACAAGGACCCGCGAGGCCATGCCTCTGAGCCGAAGCAGAGAGGGGTGGCCAAGGCGGTGGTGCCAGAGGAGGGTCTCGTGAGACAGACGACGACACGAACAAGGGGCAGACTCAGGACCAGACCTGGACGCTGCAGCAAACACCTGACCAGACGAAGGGGCCCTACCAGACGCAGTACCTGGAGGAGAAGCAGTGGTCAGTGTGTACAGGCTCGACCCCGGCCGACGTGTAAACGTAGCCAGGTGGCGACCTGTATCCGCCTCCGTACAGTGGGTCACCCGCTGACGAGCAGGGGTGAACTGGTGGACACCTGCATCCTGGAGGTCAGCACCACTCACCAAGTTCGTCGAGAACGAGGGGAGGTAGAGACCAGTCAGGGTGCCAGAGGGGGCCGCCGGACACGGGAGGACAGTGGAGAAGCGAGACAGGACAGGCCCCCCAGAGGGGTCCGCCAGGGACACCGCAACAGGCCGACTCAGCGGCGTGAGAGTGGTGCGGTCCCTAAAGAAGGAGCGAGACGCTCCAGAGTCAAGGGTGAAGGTGTGAGAGGCCGAAGCCGACACAGTACTTGAGAGGGCGGACTCACCAGTACCTGAAAGCACAGACGCACTGGCACCTAGAGCAGCAGCCTCACTAGTACCTGACGCGGCAGTACCAATGCCCGGGTCGGGCGGGAAACACCGGTAACAGTCATCCTCATCACTACCAGTCACAGCATACATAGCAGAGAGAATAGCATCAAAATCAAGATCATAAATAGCTACACCAGCCCTAGACAGCTCTCCCCAGCGGGGGATCTCAGCGGCCTCCGGAAACTGCTGACGCCAGGCGTCGGTCAAGCGGCCAAAGCAGCGACGGGCTGTGTGGGCGCCTCCACACCTCTCCCCTGCATGGTCACCAGTGCGAAGAACGTAGGGGCAGGGACCAAGCGCACCACCGCGCTGACGCTGCAAGTACCACTCACGGAGCTGCTGAGGGCCGGGGACGGTGCGAGAGCGCTGCTGCTGCTGCTGCGGCTGCTGCTGCGGCTGCTGCTGCTGCTGCTGCTGCTGGCGCTGACCACCCCCAGAGCTGCTCCGCTGGGACGAGCCACTCCGACTCCCTCCTCCACCGCCACCCCCGCCTCCACCGCCACCCCCGTCGCCACCGCCACCTCCCTTACCAGGACCGTCGCTCCCACCGCTCCCACCGCCTCCTCCGCTACCACCTCCGCCGCCACCTCCGCCTCCACCGCCGCCACTACTACCTCCACTCCCGCCACCACCCCCCCCGCCACCCCCACTCCCCCCTCCACCCCCACCGCCTCCTCCACCGCCCCCTCTGGCTCCACCCGCTCCCTTGCCCCCCTTGCCCTTGCCAGCGCGGCGTCTGCCACTGGGGGCAGACGCCGTGCCGACCGACTCAAAACCAACGAGGTCGGCCGCAGCGGCAGAGGCGACAGAGGGCAGCAGGGGGGAGGGACCACACCCCTCAAAGATGGGGGTGCGAGGGTCACCCCGAGAGGCCCCTACAGCGACAATACTCTTCTCAGCCGCTAGCAGGGACTCCTCAAGGAGGTCGACAGTGAGAGTGGTGGGACAGACAGAGAGAAACTGGTCCCTAACGACACGAAGGGACTCAGGGAGACGGGTGACGAGAAAGTAGAGAGTGATGTACATGGGAGGAGGGTTCGCAGCGCGGAACTCAGCAGGAAGGGCAGCGCGGTAGCGGGTGTCACTAGCGCGGAGGTGGGTAACGAGGTCAGCGACAGTGGGAAAGGAAGCGAGGTCAGGGAAGAGAAACGGTAGCATGAGGCGGCTAAGGGTAGCGGAGGAAGGGGAGGAGTAGCGCGCAACTACAGCGTCGTACAAGGCCTGAGCGGTCTTGCACTGACTAAAGTGGGCACGCTCAGAGGAAGGGAGGTGGCGACGCACAGCAAGACGTGCAGCAGCATCGCGGGTCGCCCACTTGGAGCGAACGGCAGAGTCAGCATCAGCAGGCGGGGCAGGGACAGCGCCAGAGACAAAGTCAAAGAGAGAGACCTCATCTACCGCATCACACAGTAAGTACAGCTGCAGGTCCTCGATCCAGACGGCAAAGTCAATGGCCCTCCCCTCAGCGTCAAAAGTGAGAACATTGGGGGTGGCCATGGCAGCAACTGAAAGTCTCACCGGGATGGGAGAGTCGGGTAGGTCAGCAGCAGGCGGCTCGGGCTGCTCGGGCGGCTCGGGCGGCTCGGGCGGCTCGGGCGACTCGGGCGGCTCGGGCGGCTCGGGCGGCTCGGGCGGCTCAGGTACCGGGCGGCTCGGCTGCTGCTGGGCGGCTCGGCTGCTGCTGGGCGGTTCGGCTGCTGCTGGGCGGCTCGGCTGCTGCTGGGCGGCTCGGCTGCTGATGGGCGGCTCGGCTGTTGTTGGGCGGCTCGGCTGCTGCTGGGCGGCTCGGCTGCAGTGTAGTGGCGGGGCCGGGACAAGGGACGGCGGGGCCGTCAGGGTGCAGCGGTGGGGCCGAGACAGGGGACGGCGGGGCCGTCAGGGTGCAGTGGCGGAGCCGGGACAGGCGCAGTGGCGGGGCCGCAGGGTGCAGCGGCGGGCCGTCAGGATGCAGCGGAGGGCCGCTGGAAGCACCCGCGGCTGAGCAGGCTGCGGGGCCGCGTCGTAGGAGGCGGCAGGGCCGCGGCTGAGCATGCGGCGGAGGCCGCGTCGTAGAGGGCGGCGGGGTCGCGGCTGAGCAGGCGGCGGAGGCCGCGGCGTCTGCAGGCGGCGGAGGCCGCGTCGTAGAGGGCGGCGGGGCCGCGGCTGAGCAGGCGGCGGGGCCGCGTCTTAGCAGGCGGCGGGGCCGCGTCTTAGCAGGCGGCGGGGCCGCGTCTTAGCAGGCGGCGGGGCCGCGTCCGAGTAGGCGGCGGGGCCGCGACTGGGTGGCGGGGCCGCGTCTTAGTGGCAGGGCCGCGACTTAGTGGCGGGGCCGCGACGTAAGGGCGGGGCCGCGACGTAAGGGCGGGGCCGCGACTGGACGGCGGGGCCGCGAACGAAGGGCGGCGGGGCCGCAGGGGAAGGGCGACTCGGGGGGGTCGCTAAAAAAAAGGATCGCGCGCCTCGGGGCGCGCTTCGGTGGGCCCTAGGCGAAGTTCCCACAGGGAACCCGCTCTATACCATGTGAAAGGAATGAACAGGAATGAATTGACTAAGTCAGAGTTGGGTACAAATACAACCCTAGCAAACTGTACCCCATATGTGCTACCCCACTATAGCCTACAAACATGCATCAGCTATAATAATCTGACAGGACTGGCAGCACGGCGAGAGTCCGACTCCGGGTCGGCAAGTGTAGGAAGAGAAGACTGAGGAGGAGAAGGCAAAGGGGCACGCAGAGGAGCAGTGGACGGACGCAGAGACATCTGGTGTGTGCCAGGGACAGGAGGAGGACGCTGACGCGAACCGCGACCACTAGAGCGAGCAGCTCGGACTGGCGACGTAGGGCGGGACGCAGGCTCATGACGCTCAGCAAGACCTCCAGTAGGACCAGCGTAGGGAGAAGGAGAAGGCAGGGGAGAGGCGGGCTGTAACTGTGACTGTGACGGGACAGGCTGCGGACACTCTACGGGAGGAGAAGGACCAGTGGAAGGCGGGAGACCAAGAACCTGCTGAAGGAGCGGAACGAAGTACGGCCGAGGCCGCGCAGCACCGCCAGAGACAGCAGAGACAGCACCAACACCTCCAGAGGCAGCACCAGCACCAGTAGCAGCTCCAACTCCAGCACCACCAGCAGCTGCAGAATTACCCGCAGTAGGACCGACAGTCGTAGCCTCAGCGCCAGCACCCGCAGCAGCTCCAGCTCCAGAGGCACCCCCGCGCCCGGCAGCTCCAGTACCCTCAGTACGAGCACCTTCGGGACCCGTGGTACCAGCTCCCTCGGCAGCAACGGAACCTCCAGCACCCGCAGTACCCCCGGCTCCAGCAGCTCGCCTGCAGCGCCGGGCAAACCACTCACGCGGCTCCAGAGGAGAGAGCGGCTCGCGGCGCGAAGACCGGTCTGGAGAACCACCAGGAACAGAAGTAGCAGGCGCAGCACTCCCAGACGCTGAACCCCCAGGCTCAGCACCCCCAGGCACAGCACCCCCAGGCTCAGCACCCCCAGGCTCAGCACCCCCAGGCACAGCACCCCCAGGCTCAGCACCCCCAGGCTCAGCACCCCCAGTCTTAGCACCCCCAGGCTCAGTACCCCCAGGCTCAGCACCCCCAGGCTCAGCACCCCCAGTCTCAGCACCCCCAGGCTCAGCACCCCCAGTCTCAGCACCCCCAGTCTCAGCACCCTGAGGCTCCGCACCCGCAGCAGCACCAGAGTCACCAGCAACCTCGACAGGCTCGACCGCGTCTACCTGAGACACACCTGAAGGGGCAGGACCCTGAGGGGGGGAGGGGGTCTACCGGGGGGGGACCTGGGACCAGGAAGAGGGGCGGGGGGGGGGAGGGACGGAGTGCGGTAGGGGAAGAGCCGGTAGAAGGGAACCGACTCGTCGAACGTGACGTCCTGGGAGGACAGAACACGACGAGAGGTGGGGTGGTAAAACTGCCACCCAGGTGCGTCAGGGGGGAAACCCAGGAAGACGCAAGGAGCAGCACGAGGGGACAGCTTGTCCGCAGACAAGTCGCGGACAAACGCCCGAGATCCCCAGACACGGAACGCCGACGCATCGCCAACCTTCCCCGTCCACAGCAAAGTTGGAGAGGTCTCCGGTCTGGAGACCCTGGGCTGAAGGTTGATCTGATGTGCGGCGTACCGAACCGCAAACGGCCACAGAAAATGGGGGGCAGCCGCATGCACCATGGACGTACGGGCGACGTCCATGACAATGCCTATGCGGCGCTCAGCAATCCCATTCTGCTGTGGAGAGTACGGAAGCGTGAAGGTCTGGCGGATGCCTCGTGCCCGACAGTAGGCTCGCAGAAGGCCGGAGGAGAACTCTCCGCCTCTGTCCGAGTGCAGACGCAAAACAGGAAAGTCCGAGCCGAAGCTCCGCCTGAGCTGGAGGCGAGCTGCGCGGATCCAGTCGATCAACACCTCAGTGACCTCACCCTTGCTGCGCAAGGGGAAGACTGTGGTGTAACGCGAGTAGTCGTCAACCACCAGCAGGAAGTAGCGCTCGTGACCTTGTCCACGGACGCGGGCTGGACCCCACACGTCCATGTGAAGCGTCTGCATCGGGGCCTCCGTCGGAGGAAACGGGGAGGAGTGAGGGGTAGCCCGCAGGCGACCCTCGACACAGGGGACACAGGGAGGGCCAGGCCCCTGAGGAAGGGGAGGGAGGGACCGGGGAAGGCCAGAGACAAGAAGGCGAGAGGCCATGCCCCGGAGACGAGGCAGGGAGGGGTGACCCATCCTGTGGTGCCACAGGAGGGTCTCGTGGGACAGGAGGCGACACGAGCAGGGGGCAGACTCAGGACCAGACCTGGACGCTGCAGCAAACACCTGACCCGACGCAGCTACCTGACCAGACGCAGGAGGAGGAGACGGAACAGTGAGTGTGTACAGGCTCGACCCCGGCCCACGTGTGAACGTGGTCAAGTGTCGACCCGTGTCCGCGTCCGTGCAGTGGGTGTCCCGTCTGCATGCAGGGGTGAACTGGTCGACCCCTACATCCTGTATGTCAGCACCCGCCACCAAGTTCGTAGAGAACGAGGGGAGGTAGAGACCGGACAGGGCGCCAGACGGGACCGCAGGGCACGGCAGGACAGTGGAGTAGCGAGCCAGAACAGGACCCCCAGAGGGGTCTGCCAGGGAGACTGCCACTGGCCGACTAAGCGGCGTGAGTGTGGTGCGGTCTCGAAAGAAGGAGCGAGACACCCCTGAGTCAAGAGTGAAGGTGAGAGAGGGCGGAGCCGACGCAGTACCTGAGAGAGCAGACTCACCAGCACCTGAGGACACAGACTCACTGGAACCTAGAGCGACAGCCTCACCAGCACCTGGAGCAGCAGCCTCAACAGCACCTAGAGCCGCAGTACCAATGCCCGGGTCGGGCGGGAAACACCGGTAACAGTCACCCTCCTCACTAATGGTCACAGCATACATGGCAGCAAGAATAGCATCAAAGTCAAGATCAAAGATAGCTACTCCTGCCCTAGACAGCTGGTCCCAGCGAGGGATCTCAGAGGCGTCAGGAAACTGGCGGCGCCAAGCGTCAGTCAGGCGGCCGAAGCAGCGCTGGGCGGGGTGTGGACCACCACACGGCTCACCCGCACGGTCGCCCGTGCGCAAGACGTAGGTGCACGGACCAGTACCCCCACCCCTCTGACGTGCAGCGTACCACTCACGGAGCTGCTGCGGGGAGAGGGTCTCCTGACCACGCTGCTGCCGCTGCTGTTGGCGCTGACCGCCACCGGAGCCACTCCTCTGCGACGAGCCACGACCTCCTCCGCCGCCTCCTCCGCTGCCCCCGCCACCACCTCCGCTGCCACCGCCACTCCCACCGTCGCTGCCGCCACCGCCGCCTCCGCCTCCACTCCCACCACCACCGCCGCTGCCACCCCCGCCTCCACTGCCGCCGCTGACACCTCCACTCCCGACACCACTCCCGCTACCACCCCCACCTCCTCCGCTGCCTCCACCGCCGCTCCCACCGCCCCCGCCGCCTCCACCACCGCTCCTGCCCCCTTTGCCCTTGCTAGAGCGACGTCTCCCACTGGGGGCAGACGCCGCACAGACCGACTCAAAACCAACTAGGTCGGCCGTAGCAGCAGAGGCGACAGAGGGCAGGAGGGGGGAGGGGGAACACCCCTCAAAGATGGGGGTGCGCGGGTCACCACGAGAGGCCCCTACAGCGAGAATGCTCTTCTCGGCTGCTAGGAGGGACTTCTCGAGGAGGTTAACAGTGAGAGTGGTGGGGCAGACTGAGAGTAAGTCGTCCCTGACTCCGCGGAGGGGCCGGTAGAGGGGACGGCGGGGCCGTCGCAGGCGATCGCGGGGCCGTCAGCGACGGCGCCGGCGTCGCGAGGGTCAGAGGGGGGGGGGGGGCGGCGCGCGACTGGAGGGCGGCACGCGCGACGTGGCGCGGCCGTCTAGGGGCGGCGTGACGAGGCCGCGTAGGTGGCGCGTCAGAATTTCGCGGGCGGCTCGACGCGATCGGGCCGCCAAAGGAAAAAAAAGGCCCAGCGCGACTCGGGCTAGGGCAGAGCGCGCTCCGGGCAGGACGGAATAGTAGGTGGGCCCTAGGAACAGTTCCCACTAGGGAACCTGCTCGATACCATGTTGAGATAGAGGCAAGGAATGAGTGCACTATGAAATGAAACAAGTACAAGTACCAACCCTAATTGGGTTGTACCCCCTATGGGCTACCCCACTACAGCCTAAATATATGCATCAGTAATATAATCATCTGACAGGGGGGTGTCAGTAGATCTGCACTGTGGATGCCCGATTGATCCTGGAGAGGGTTACAGGCACGTTCGCCTGGGGGGGTTATGGGCGCACTGACCCGATAATGAAACAAGCCCTTTTATCCCAATGGTCTAGTGGTTGGGATTCTGACAGCCCTGTGTTTAGCCTTGTGCTGGCAAAAAAATGCGGGTATTGCGCCAGTTCGACAGCTGGGCGTAAAGAAAATTTCATGGTGCGACACTGTTTCGGCCCCGACAAAACCGGACCATCGGCAGTAGTTACCCCGCCGACAAAGTCGGAGCTGAAGCAGTTGTTGCTGTGATAATAGGAAAACAGGAATGAATGAACTATGAATGAAAGCAGTACAAATATGAAACCCTAACTGGGTTGTACCCCCTATGGGATACCCCACTACAGCCTACACAGCAGTATAAGCTATAGATATGTTCTGACACACCCCCATAGGCAAAGTGGGGGAGAACAAGGGGTCACAAGACCAGTCAAGCAAGACAAAGCAAAGCTCAGGGTGGATCACAAAGTCACCACACAGTCCGAGCACAAGAGCAAGGCCAAAGGCCAGTTCACAAGCAAGAGTACAGACATATATATAAAGCTAGACAAGCAAGAGCAGGTATATATATATGTCACAGTACAAGTGAAGTCAAGAGGAGAGCAAGTGAGGCAAGACAGGCACAAGACCCAGCTGGGTGCAGAAGCGCTGATGGTCACAAGGCGCAAGTGCCTTGGTGAACACATCAGCAGTGTTGGCCTCAGAGGCCACGTACGCAAGTCGCAACTGACCACGCTGCTGCAGCTCACGAGCAAGGAAGTAGCGGAGAGCAATGTGCTTCGTTCTGTGCTCCAAGCGCTGCTCTCGACACAAGGCCAGCATAGCCTTGTTGTCTACGTACAGCACTGGAGGAGAACGAGGCGGCTCTCCAAGGTCAGTCAGCAGGTAGGTGAGCCAGCGAAGCTCCTGTGCAGCCATGGCCCCGGCGTAGATCTCAGCCTCACAACTGGAGCCGAGAACCGAAGACGAGCGAGTAGACCGCCACGAGACAGAGCCGGAACCAAGGCTGAAGGTGTAACCCTGTGACGACCGCTGCGTAGCCTGGTCGTCAGCCCAAGAAGCGTCCGCGTGGCCGGTAAGGACCACTGGACTCCGCCCTCCAAGCACTAGCCCCATGCCTGACGTACTGCACAGGTAGCGCAATACCCTCTTCGCTGCAGCCATGTGCTCCGGTCTGTGTCTCCCAGGAGCAACATAGCGTGCAAGAATGCTCAGAGGGTATGCAAGGTCAGGTCGTGTGCAGGTCATCAGGTACATGAGGCAGCCAACAAGCTCCGCATACGGACCACTCGACTCTACGGACTCATCCGAAGGCAGAGCTGAGAGTGAGTGGCGAGTAGGCAGAGGAGTGGCCTGAGGCGAGGAGTACGTGAAGCCGAAGCGCTGAAGGACCTGCTGCACCATGTGTGACTGAGTCAAGGTAATGGTGCGGCGTGCTCTGTCCCGAGTGATCTGCAAGCCAAGGTAGCTGCGCAGTTCACCCAGGTCTGTGCACGTGTGTCTCTTCAACAGCTCGGACTTCACGTAGGCGAGTCCAGCAGTGTCCGCTGTGGCAAAGACCAGGTCGTCGACGTACACGAGGATGTAGAACGGCGGCAGGGAAGTGTCGGTGCGAAGAAACAGCGACGGGTCAGCAGTAGAAGGAGCAAACCCAAGAGCCGCAAGCGTAGTCCTCAGTGTGTCGTGCCACTCACGCGGTGCCTGGCGGAGACCGTAGACTGGCCGTCGGAGGCTCCACTGGGTGCCAGGAGGGAAAGTCCCAGTGAAGCCAGGTGGACGGCGAAGCCAGATCTCCTCGTGCAGGCTACCCTGCAAGAACGCAGTGCTGAAGTCGAGAGAGTGAAGCTCGTAGTCACGCTGAGCGGCTATGTGCAGCAGCACCCGAAGAGTAGTCATCTTCGGGGTGGGAGAGAAGGTCTGAAAGTAGTCAACTCCCTGCCGCTGACTGAAGCCACGAGCAACGTACCGTGCCTTGAAGACAGGTGGAGAGCCCGGCGGCCGCTTCACCCGGAAGATCCACATGCCACTGACGATGTTCGCCCCAGGAGGGGGAACCGCGTCAACGTAGGTGCCTGTGGACTTCCAGGAAGCCATCTCTGCATCCATAGCTGCCTGCCACTGAGAGGAGTAGGGACCCTCTACGGCCTCCGCGTAAGAACGCGGAGTCGGGATGTCTAGTGCATCCGGGTCTCCCTCAGGGGCAAGCAGTACAGACGCGAGATGAGGTGAAGCAGCCGCTAGACACTGTAACTCCTCCTGCCTGTCCTCTAGGACGTCCGTGCCAAGAGCACACTCACCCCCGACGGACGGAGGACAGACAGACGCAGACTCAGCAACAAGACTAGCAGCGTAGTCGAGACGACAGCGAGCAGCAAAGTCGACGAGCTCAGCGACTAGAGCAGACGCAGCAGTGGACTCAAAAGAGGGGTCAGTGACGACAGTAGCAAGGAGACGCGTGACAGTGGGACTGGCAGCACGAAGAGAGTCCGACTCAGGGTCCGCAAGCGCAGGAAGAGAGGACTCAGGAGGAGAAGGCAAAGGGGCACGCAGAGGAGCAGTGGACGGACGTAAAGACATCCGGTGCGTGCCAGGGACAGGAGGAGGACGCTGACGCGAACTGCGACCACTAGCGCGAGCAGCACGAACAGGCGACGCGAGACGAGACGCAGGCTCACGACGCTCAGCAAGACCTCCAGTAGGACTAGTGTAAGGAGAGGGAGCAGGCAGTGGAGAGGAAGGCTCCAGTAGGGGCTGCGACTGGACAGGCGGTGGACCCTCTACTGGAGGAGAAAGACCAAGAACCTGCTGAAGGAGCGGAACGAAGTACGGCCGAGGCCGCGCGGCAGCTCCAGACTCAGCAGGGACAGCACCAGCACCCTCAGCGACAGCACCAGCGCCACCCACACCTCCAGCGGCAGGACCAACAGCAGCAGGCTCAGCACGAACGCCCTCAGCAGCTCCAGCTCCAGGAGGACCTGCAGGGCCAGCAGCTCCGGGACCGGCTGCACCCGCACCCTCGACGGTCGAAGAAGCTCCAGCTCCAGCTCCAGCAGCACCTCCAGACTCAGCAGCACGCCTCCAGCGGCGAGCGAACCACTCGCGCAGCTCCTGTGGAGAGAGGGGCTCCCGGCGAGACGCAGCAGCAGGAGAAACCCCAGGCTCAGCAGCTCCAGACGCAGCACCCCCAGGCTCAGCAGCTCCCAGCTCAGCACCCCCAGGCTCAGCAGCTCCCGACCCTGCACCCCCAGACCCAGCACCTCCAGGCACAGCACCCCCCGGCTCAGCACCCCCAGGCTCCGCACCCTCCGCAGTAGCACCCTCAGGCCCAGCACCCCCAGCAGTAGCACCCCCAGGCTCAGCACCCCCGCGCACAGCACTCCCAGAGTCAGCACCCCCAGGCTCAGCACCCGCAGCAGCACCAGAGTCACCAGTAACCTCGACCGGGTCAACGGCGTCTACCTGGGACACACCTGAGGGGGCAGGAACCTGAGGGGGGAGGGGGTCTACCGGGGGGGGAACCGGCACAAGGAAGTCCGGGGGAGGGGGGAGGGAAGGAGTGCGGTAGGGGAAGAGACGGTAGAAGGGGACTGACTCGTCGAACGTGACGTCCTGGGAGGACAGAACACGACGAGAGGAGGGGTGGTAAAACTGCCACCCTGGGGCGTCAGTGGGGAAGCCAAGGAAGACACAGGGAGCAGCACGAGGGGACAGCTTGTCCGCAGACAAGTCGCGGACAAACGCCCGAGATCCCCAGACACGGAACACAGACGCATCACCAACCTTCCCCGTCCACAGCAAGGCTGGGGACATCGCTGGCCGAGAGACCCGGGGGTGAAGGTTGAGCTGATGCGCCGCGTACCTCACCGCAAACGGCCACAGAAAATGGGGGGCAGCCGCATGCATCATGGACGTACGAGCGACATCCATGACCATGCCAATGCGGCGCTCAGCAATCCCATTTTGCTGTGGTGAGTCCGGAAGCGTGAAGGTCTGGCGGATCCCCCGTGCACGACAGTAGTCTCGCAGAAGGCGAGAAGAGAACTCTCCGCCTCTGTCAGAGTGCAGACGCAGAACAGGAAAGTCCGAGCCGAAGCTCTTCCTGAGCTGGAGACGAGCCTCGCGGATCCAGTCGATCAGCACCTCAGTGACCGCACCCTTGCTGCGCAAGGGGAGGACTGTGGTGTAACGCGAGTAGTCGTCAACCACCAACAGGAAGTAGCGCTCGTAACCCTGCCCACGGACGGGAGCTGGGCCCCACACATCCATGTGAAGCGTCTGCAGGGGAGCCTCTGTCGGGGGGAAGTGGGAGGAGTGAGGAGTAGCCCGGAGGCGACCCTCGACACAGGGGACACAGGAAGGTCCTGGCCCGGAGGGGAGAGGAGGGAGAGACTGGGGAAGACCAGAGACAAGGACACGGGAAGCCATGCTCCGAAGACGGGGCAAGGAGGGGTGGCCAAGACGGTGGTGCCACAGGAGAGTCTCGTGAGACAGGAGGCGACAAGAACAGGGGGCAGACTCAGGACCTGACCGGGACGCAGCAGCAAGTACCTGACCCGACGCAGCCACCTGACCAGACGCAGGGACAGGAGGAGACTCAACGGTCAGGGTGTAGAGACTCGACCCCGGCCGACGTGAGAACGTGGCCAGGTGTCGGCCTGTGCGAGCCTCCGTGCAGTGGGTCACCCTCTGACGCGCAGGAGTGAACTGGTGAACACCCCCATCCTGCAGGTCCGCTCCACTCACCAAGTTCGTAGAGAACGAGGGAAGGTACAGACCCGACAGGGTGCCCGAAGGGGCAGCCGGACACGGGAGGACAGTGGAGAAGTGAGACAGGACAGGACCCCCAGAGGGGTCAGCAAGGGAGACCGCAACCGGCCTGGCGAGCGGCGAAAGGGTAGTGCGGTCTCGAAAGAAGGAGCGAGAAGCTCCGGAGTCAAGTGTGAAAGTGAGGGAGGACGAGGACGACTCAGTACCTGAGAGCGCAGTCTCACCAGTACCTGAGAGCGCAGACGCACTGGCACCTAGAGCAGCAGCCTCACAAGCACCTAGCGCAGCAGTACCAATGCCCGGGTCGGGCTGAAAACACCGGTAACCCTCATGCTCCTCACTATAATCCACAACATACATAGCAGTAAGGATAGCATCAAAATCAAGATCAAAGATCGCTACACCAGCCCTGAGAAGCTCATCCCAGCGAGG